AACCGATTTGCTGATGTTACAGCACGGCAAGTGGCACGGGAAATATGGACTCAAATGGCATTGGTACCGGTAAGAACGAATCCGGCTACCCCTTACCTGAATCAGGAGCCCAAATATTCAATAGAAGATGGAAAACTAATAAACTTGCTAGGGGCACAGAGGAATCAACTTGGGTGGTATGTTACACCAATGGGACAAATAGTAGTACCTACTCGCATAATGAAATTTATTTTGGAATCAGAACATAACAAATGTCATTGGGGGGCAGAAGTATTGGTAAAATTTTTGAAAAATGAGATAATCTCTAATCAGATGTTAACAATGGCAAAAAGAGTTAATGCAATGTGCCCGGTATGTTTAGGAGACAAATACAAATGGGAAAGCTGCAAGTCGGGCCACAACCGGGAGATTACTGGCAAGTTGATTTTTCCGCATTGCCTAGGGCACAGGGATACAGATACTTGTTAGTGTATGTATGTACGTTTTCAGGGTGGCCAGAAGCTTTTCCATGTAGAACTAATCAGGCTAAGGAGGTGGTAAAAACCTTGTTAAAAGAAATAATACCAAGATTTGGAGTACCTTTAGGATTGTCATCAGATAGGGGTCCGCATTTTTTAGCCGGGGTAGTGCAGGAATTAGCACGACTGTTAGATATAACCTGGAATTTGCATACCCCCTGGAGACCTCAGTCTAGTGGGCAGGTGGAAAGGATGAATCAAACCCTGAAAGTACAAATCAAAAAGATTTGCCAGGAAGCTTAGCTGCACTGGCCTCAAGCTTTGCCTTTGGCCCTACTCAGGATTCGAATTAAGCCAAGGGAAAAGGTAGGCGTAAGTCCATATGAGATACTATATGGCAAACCATATCATGCAACTGTATTACAAGGGGAGGTACATGTGAGTGGGGACCAGACAATTGCAGAGTATGTTATGTCACTTAATAAGATCTTGAATTCTTTAAGAAATACTTTACAGTGGAATAGACCGCTCACGCTGGAGAATTCGGTCCACGACATTCAGCCTGGGGACCAGGTGTACGTCAAGAAGTGGATCACGGATCCTCTACGGGAATCATGGAGTGGACCCCACCAGGTGATGATGACGACCTACACGGCGGTGAAGGTCCAGGGGATGGATGCTTGGATCCATTACACCAGGGTAAAGAAGGCACCGTTCCAATGGGAAACCCAGATGGTGTCTCCAACCCGGATGATCTTCCGCGCAAAGCCGCCTTCTTAATTATATTACTGCTAGTGATCATGAGACTATTACCCGTTCAAGGGTCTACTCTAGTACAGGTTGAAGAAACAAAGGTTACAGTCATGGAAGGGATGGATGTTCAATTAACTTGTGTTATATTTGACAGCCAGAGAGTTGAGGCCGGTGAAGTTATTGCAATATGGCAACGGGGGGCTGAAAGAAGCCGAGGCAAGATCGGAGTCGGTTGGGATCAGGATAAACAACAAGGAAACACGGTACTGAATCTTACTAAGGTAACCACAAACGATACGGGAGAATATACATGTTTGGTCAAGAGACGGGATAGTTTTGATTACAAAAGAGTGAGTATGAGGGTTTTGCCATGGACAGGGGATCGTGCTGAAAACATAAAGGTTGATCCAGTATCAATGGCAGCGGACATGTGGGATGGGTCACCCCTTAGAATAAATTGTTCCTTCCTAGTAAGATCAAGATATCAAAGGAACCTATGGGTCAAAAGGTGGAGGCAAAATAGGGAACTGACCTGGGACAGAATAGAGGACAGGACAGTTGGTGGGAGAAGGAAGGCAAAGGTTGTGGGTGGTTGAATGTCACTAATCGTAGAATAGGAAATGCATGGTGGAGGCATGACAGAATGATGTTATCCTTACAGAGACACGGTAGAAGGGGTAGACGGGAGGCTAATGATACAATAGAACGGAATACTGAGCAGGAAAACTTAGTGGTAGGATTGATTAGAGATTTTGGGATCATGCAGAACGTGACTAAAATAACAGCTTGCCTACCATTACCACAGGCTGCAGGTGAACCTATTCCCTGGGGAATAATACCGGTAACCAAAATGCCTGAAACATTTAAGAATGTTTCATGGTCCTGCCAGTCAGTTCCCAAACCAGTGGATGTATGGAGGGATTTGTGTATGACCATTCGGGCTATGACTAGAGAGGAATGTGAAAAGAAACCCAATCATTATGGTTGGATTCAAAATACCAGGAGGTGTTTAATTGCAAACCCAATAGATGAGCCATGCAATACAGTACGAATAAGAACGAAATCCCACCGAAATGAGATGAGTTGTCAGAATGTCACACAGAATTTTGACACCTGGAATAGTTGGAAGACATTATGGGGACCTAGTGTTTTGGAACACTATAATTACCTTGGGGAAGTACAATGGTGCATCCAATGGTCAGGAGTAAAGAATCAGTCACATTATAGGGCCCTCATCACATCTACATCTTCCCGAGAGTTCAGACTGCAGAAAGAGTATTGGAATTGTACTGAGGTTTTTACATGTGATACACCGGAAGACCGAATTGGATTGGTACCGGTGAAAATGGCATTAAAGTGGGGATGCGAGTGTAGGGGATATGATCATACGGTTAGCAAAGAGTCCATGGAGGGACCTATAGATTGCAGATATACTATTGTGCATAGCCCTGGAAATCTAGTCTGGGTGTTGGGACATGGACAGTGGACCACACATTTACCTCTAGATGGATCAGTAACACAAATCACCCTAGGGGTTCCCACATTGTGTCCATACTGGAAACAGAATAGATTGATCCAAAGGAAAGGACACAGAAAGAGGGAAGAATCCCTAGAGGAGCAGTGGCATGAACCTGGCTCAGGAGTACAATTTGGATGGATATTAGAATCATTATTCCCTCCGGTAGTGACATATCGAAATAGGGAAATGCTCAACAACTTGTTAGGACAGACAGAAAGGTTGGCAGCAGCTACTAAGAAGGGATTTAAAGATCTAAATTTGCAATTGCAAGCTACATCAAGAATGACCCTACAAAACAGAATGGCATTGGATTTGCTACTGTTAAGAGAACATGGAGTTTGTGGTTACCTGAGTAGGAGAATAGATCATTGCTGTGTACACATTCCAAATGTTACACTTGAAGTTGAGAAAGATATTTCTCAACTGGCAGAAGTGGAAACAAAAACCAAGGAAATTGAAAAGGAAGCACAGCATAACTGGATAGGAGCAGTATTTGATTCTTTGGGGCTTCACCTGTCTGGCTGGATTACATCTGCTATACAGTATGCACTAATGTTTTTAGTATTTTTAGTGACTATATGGATTGTATATAGATGCCTCTTAGGAGTGATCGAAAAGGAAAAGAAGCGATCTCTCCGGTTGCTGAAGGCCATGACCCGCGGGCGGCAGAATGAAGAACACTCCCCACCTCGTTATGAAGATGTTACTGTCAATACTGTTGATTGAGCATCCTTGCAGTAGGACTGAAGGATGCTCAAAAGGGGGGAAATGTTGGAAAAGAAATGAAATTTAGCAAAATGTGTAATTATAGTTTAGTTATGAGTTGTGTGTGAATTGGTTTGTTAAAAGCAGTTTTGCAGTTTTGCAGCCGTTGATAGTGTGTGTGTTTGGTTTGTGTGTAACTTAGCAGGTAGTCTTAGGAATTTAGTAAATAATTAAACTAGTGCAGGAGAGTAAGAATGCTAACCTGTCTGAAGGCAGCATACAATGCTCTTAGAATAAGATAAGCAGAAGATTTATGATCTTGCCTGTGAACTAAGGAATGTATCACAAGGGAACTGTTTCTTGGAGACTTTGTTGTGAATCGCATGTATAAGAGGGAAGCACCCATATGTGAAATCGGGGGCTTGGGTTTTTGGGACGTGAGTCCCCCAGCACCCCGGGCCCGTAATAAAGCACCCACAAAACTTATCCGAGTTTTGTGTCATTTATCAATCGGGCAACACCCAGAGCCCTGCGGGACGAAGGGGAGATGGGGATGGGGCGATGCAAAAGTCAGGCTGAGGTGTCCAATTAATTAATGGGTGGATTTGGGCTCATTGTAGGGTTTAAGGAATTTTTCAATACAGGAAACCACTGCCGGACATTTGAGGCAAGAAAAAAGGATTCTGGGGCAAAAGCAGAGAAGCTTTGCGGATGGGGGAGTGGCCGTGACCCTGCTGGAGTGCGGGGGGGCACCTCCACCCCCCCGGGGGCTCCCTGCGCCTCCTCTGCCGAGGGTCCAGGTTCAGTTTTGGGAATTTTGGGATGGGCTGGATGCACCGGAGACCCGGGCAGGGGTTTGAGTGGGTCGGAACCATCACCAGCAGTGGTGGCGTCACCAGGAACGCGGATTCCGTCAAGGGCTGGTTCAGGATCTCCAGGGACAACGGGCAGAGCTCGGTGACGCTGACCATGAACAACCTCAAGGACGAGGATTCCGGATCCTATTTCTGCACCAAGGACACCGATGGTCACGGTGCTTATGCTGATGCTGGTTGGGGAGGATGGAACAGCAAAGCCTTATCAATATGGGTATATTGATAATATCAATAAGTCGGGTAAAAAATTTTGAGAATATGGAGACCATCAGAGAGATTGAAATGAAAGCAAGCTTTGAGATCCCTCAGGGACTGAACAACTGGAAAACAATGGCGTGGCCGGCTGAAGGTGATCCCATTTTGATGGAACAACACCCTCTGCCTGCAGACAGCTCCAAGGGTCAGAGCGACCCTACAGCTTGGCAGAAGGGCCCAAAGAGGAGTTTTTAGGGTTTAAAGTTACTCCAAAAAGGAGTTTTTAGGGTTTAAAGTTCTTCCAAAGAGGAGTTTTTAGGGTTTAAAGTTGCTCCAAAGAGGGGTTTTTAGGGTTTCCAAAGAGCAGGTTTTAGACTTGGCAGAAGGGTGCCAAAGAGGAGTTTTTAGGGTTTAAAATGTAATAGAGTACGGTAATGAATGATTCTTTTAGGGTGTATGGAAATGATGTAGGGTTTGTACATTGCATAAGATTGGTTAGTGAGAATGAGAATATTCTACAGAGAAGAACATTTATTGTATTGTGGTGGGAACCTCACTCTCTTACCCTTTTATTCTCTTAGAGTTTTATGTTCTTACCCTTTTACACTCTTACCATTTTATTCACTGACTCTTTCACTCTCTTACCCTTTTTATTCTCTCACCCTTTTACTCATTTACCTTTTTTACTCTCTTACTCTCTTCCCGTCTCATCCTCTCTCCCCTCTCTTCTCTCAGCCCTTCTCCAGCTGTGCCTGGCAGCTCCCAGCAGGGCCCTGCAGTTCGTCCTTTGCAATAAACCCCAAATGCCACAACCTGGCTGCAGAGATCTCTCGTATCCGTCCGTCTGTCCCGACCGTCCTGCTCCCGGATGCTCCTGCAGTGCTGGTTGGGGAATGGGGCCAAGCCCGGCACGTCAACAGAAGCAACACCATAAGTACCATCAGGAGTATAAGCATATTTGGCACAGAAATAGTATCCGGAATCCTCGTCCTTGAGGTTGTTCATGGTCAGTGTCATCAAACTCTGCCCGTTGTCCTTAGAGATCGTGAACCGGCCCTTGACCGAATCCGCGTAGCTTGTGCTGCCAGTGGTGCTGATATCTGCAATGAACTCCAGCGCCTGCCCGGGTCTCTGGCGGATCCAGGCCATCACAATAATCCCAAAATCGATCCCGGGTGCTCGGCAGAGGAGGCGCAGGGATCCCCCGGGGGGCTGGAGGTCCCCCCCACACTCCAGCAGGGTCACGGCCGCCCGGAGCCCTGTGGGACAAAGGGGAGATGGGGATGGGAAACCTGATTGGTCCAGGGCCTCAGAGTGGGCTTAGCCATTTGGAAAAAAGGGACAGGACCCACCTGGGAGGAGGAGGGTGATGAACGGCAAGGGTCCAAATTTGGGGCCAATAGTTGGGATGTTGGGGTCAAGGGTTGAGCTTTGGCCTCATCCCCATCTCCCCTTTGTCCCACAGTGCTCCAGGCAGCCGTGACCCTGCTGGAGTGCGGGGGGGACCTCCAGCCCCCCGGGGGGTCCCTGCGCCTCCTCTGCCGAGGGTCTGGGTTTGATTTTGGGAAATTTGCAATGGGCTGGATCCGCTAGAGACCCGGGCAGGGGCTGGAATTCATCGCCAGCATCAACAGTGATGGTGGCAGCACCAGGTACGTGGATTCAGTCCAGGGCCGGTTCAGGATCTCCAGGGAGAATGGGCAGAGCTCGGTGGCGCTGACCATGAACAACCTCAAGGACGAGGATTCCGGATCCTATTTCTGTGCCAAATCTTCTGGTGTTAGCACTGCTCTTACTGCTTTTGTTGGTGTTTGGGTTGGTGTTTGGGGTCCTGGCCTCGTCCCTGTCCCCAGCTGTCCCCAGACCCTTCCCCAAACCCCCCTGTCCCACCCCTGACCCTTTGTCCAAGCCCCGCCCCCTTTGCCCTTATGCTGCCCATTGGCCCCAAACCCTGCCCTGGGTCTGCCCCCAAACTCAACTCTCGGCCCCAAATCTCCCACTTGTGCCCCAAAATTGCCCCAAAGGGCCGACATTTGGGAACAGCGGGTGAGGTTTGGGTCAGCGGCTGTGGCTGGGAGCCCAGAGTAGGGATTGGGGGCAGAATCGGGCGAGTTTTGGGGCCAAAGCTGGTGGGTTTGGGGCAGAACTAGTTTCGGGGTTTGGAGTCTTTAGTCTCCATTGGTGGAAATGGGGAAGATCTGGGCAAAGGAGTCAAGAATGAGGTCAAGGGCTGAGATTTGGGTAAAGGTTCTGAGATTTGGGGATAAGAGGGGCTCAGGCACGGGCGCTGCCACCACCGGCACGGTCAATGTAAGCAGCAGCAGCCCAAGCAGCACCAGCAGCTTTGGCACAGAAATAGGATCCGGAATCCTCGTCCTTGAGGTTGTTCATGGTCACAGTCACCGAGCTCTGCCCGTTGTCCCTGGAGATCCTGAACTGGCCCTTGACCGAATCTGCATAGTAGGCGCTGCCACTGCTGTAGACCCCTGCGAGCCACTCCAGCCCCTGCCCGGGTCTCTGGCGGACCCAGTGCATGGTGACACTGCCAAAACTGAACCCGGACCCTCGGCAGAGGAGGCGCAGGGACCCCCTGGGGAGCTGGAGGTTTCCCCCGCACTCCAGCAGGGTCACGACCGCCCGGAGCCCTGCAGGACAAAGGGGAGATGGGGATGAGGCCAAAGCTCAACCCTTGACCCAAACCCTGAACCTTGGCCTCAAATTTGGACCCTGGGAGTTCATCATCCTCCTCTCAGGGGGGTCCCGCCCCTTTTTACAGCAAGCCACACCTACTTGGACCCCACAGCCAATCAGGTTTCTCATCCTCAATCTCTCCCCATTGTCCCGTAGGGCTCCAGGCGGCCGTGACCCTGCTGGAGTGTGGGGGGGACCTCCAGCCCCCTGGGGGGTCCCTGACGTTGCTGTGCCGCGCATCTGGGTTTGATTTTGGTAGTTTTGGGATGGGCTGGATGTGCCAGAGACCCGGGCAGACACTGGAATACATCGCCCGCATCTGCAACAGTGGTGGCTGAAATAAACAAAAAGGGCCAGGAGACTTCTTCTCCTTTTTAATGCCTTTATTAAAAGTGATCAGCTCAGGATTGGGTGGCTCAACGGGTCTGCAGTCTCCGTCGTCTTCCCGGGCGACTCAGAGGAGGAGGATATGCACAGCTCTGTCCACAAGGGGCAGAGCTGGGGATCACGTCCTCGTGGGAACCTTTAGGGCCTGCTGATCCCGTCAGATGGTGCCTTTGCCGGCTCAGTCAGCCTCGTCTCACCGCCGGGGTCGTCTCTCTTGGTCAGGGCGAGAGGCTCTGAAGGTGTTTTGCATCTCTGCAGGTTCAGCATTCGGCTCTTCACGTCTAGACATCACTCCAGTCTCTCAACTCTTAGGTGGCTCGTTGTTTTGGGGTTTTCTCCGTACACCGGGGGACCCATGCTGCATTGTGGTCTTGGAGTCACTTTGCATAGCCCCCCCCACCTTCTCGGGTCCCTTCTACTGTTCGGGAAGGTTCCCACCCTTCTGGGAAAGGTACAACTTAGCCTCGGGCGAGGCTCTGCTGATACAAAAGGAGCGATTAGCCACAACGACTCGTGATTACAATAACAAAACACAAAGAACTTCAGCAGCTACCCGTGGTCTGGCTGCTTTTTGTAACTTTTTCTCACAAAAAAATATTACCCGAATTTTTGTTCATAACAGTGGCAGCACTGACAACGCGCCATCGGTCAAGGGCCGGTTCACGATCTCCAGGGACGACAGGCAGAGCTCGGTGACGCTGACCATGAACAATCTCAAGGTCGAGGACTCCGAATCCTATTTCTGTGCCAAATGTGCTACTAGTGGTTATGGTGGTGGTGTTGCTACTTTTAGTGACAATTCCAGCAGTGGCCCCAGCCCTATGACGGTCACTAGATGTCTCCACTCCCAGTCATCCTTCCTCCAGAGCCCAGCTTTTCTCCCAAGTGTTAAAGAGTTTCCCCCAAACTCTGCCCCTGCTGCCTACACCCTACACTTTCACTCAATTTTTCCAATTTCACCCAAATCTCCCATAGCTCCCTGGGCCCTGATTGGAGGAGGCCTGAACTGGAGCCCAGGGGTGAAGATTTGGGGCCAGTGGTTGAGTTTTGGGGCAGGAGCAGGGGAGGGTTTGGGGTCTGTGGCCACTGATGTTGCAAATGGAGTGAAAAGGTCAAGGAGTGCGTCAAGAAGAGAGGTTTGGGATGAAAATCAGAGCTTTAGGGAGAAAATGAAGGGAGTGGGGCAAAAAGCATGGCCTGGAGGCAATCACCAATATCGTCACCATTGTTACCAGCAGCCCAGCAACCACTACAATAAGGTATGGCACAGAAATAGGATCCGGAATCCTCGTCCTTGAGGTTGTTCATGGTCAGCGTCACCGAGCTCTGCCCGTTGTCCCTGGAGATCCTGAACCGGCCCTTGACTGAATCCGCATAGCCGGTGTTGCCACCAGTGTTGGTGATCCCTGCGACGAATTCCAGTCCCTGCCCGGGTCGTTGACCCATCCAGCCCATCCCAAATTGTCCAAAATCGAACCCGGCTCCTCGGCAGAGGAGTCGCAGGGACCCCCTGGGGGGCTGGAGGTCCCCCCCACACTCCAGCAGGGTCACGGCCGCCCGGAGCCCTGCGGGACAAAGGGGAGAGTGGGATGGGAAACCTGATTGGTTCAGGGCCGCAAACTGGGAGGGTCAAGTTGATAAAGTATCGAGACCCACCTGGGATAAGGATGATGAACTCCAAGGGTCCCAATTTGGGGCCAAGATTCAGGATTTGGGTCAAGGGTTCAGCTTTGGCCCCATCCCCATCTCCCCTTTGTCCCGCAGAGCTCCGGGCGGCCGTGACCCTGCTGGGGTGCAGGGGGGACCTCCAGCCCCCCAGGGGGTCCCTGCGCCTCCTCTGCCGAGGGTCCGGGTTCAGTTTTCGGGAGCTACGACATGTTCTGGGTCCGCCAGAGACCCGGACAGGGGCTGGAATTCGTCGCGTCGATCTACAGCAGTGGTGCTTACACCAACTACACGCCGTCGGTGCAGGGTCGGATCACGATCTCCAGGGAAAACGGGCAGAGCTCGGTGACGCTGACCGTGAGCAACCTCAAGGACGAGGATTCCGGATCCTATTTCTGTGCCAAACATTACACCAGTGGTTGTGGTAATGCTGCTATGCTTATGGTGTTTATGGTGGTTGTGGTCCCAAGCCCTCTCCTCTCTCTTCCCAAGCATCAAAGAATTCTCTGATCCTTCCCCAAAATCCTGGCTCTTTTTCTAACATCTCAGATATTTTCCCCCCAAACTCCACCATCACTTCCCCAATTCCCAATTTCCCCTAATTTTCCCCATTCCTCCCCAGTCTGGCCCTTCCCCTCAGTCCCAGTGCGGAATGGGGATCACTCCGGGGCCCTTTGCACACAAAGCTTTTTGTGCAGCCAGCGCTCTGCCGCAGCGCCCCAAGGCTGAGTTTCCCTTTGCCAAACACAGATGTTCAAAATGACCAAAACCAGGAACTTTCTGTTTCCTTTCCTGCCCCGGCCGGGCCCCGGCAGCTGCCGGGGAGGAAGTGGGGGGAGGCTGCGGAGTCCCAAAATGGCGGCGTCTTCTCCTCCCTCCCTCCCTTTGTCCCACCTGGGGCTTCACTGCTCCCTCAGCGGCCTCAGTGTCTGGGGCTGCTCCGTGGGCCTGGGCTGGAATCCTCTCTGGGAGCTATGGAGAAAAAATCATTTTTTTAGCCAAAAACACATGAAAAAATTGGGGAAATTGAATTTTTCCACAAATTTTTACATTGATCCCCAGCCAAGGGCTCCATGCTGAGAGAAGCAGAAGGGTGCAAGGGTGTAGTCACCTGGAATGTTCCATTGGTCAAGGGCAGGGTCAGCACGGTCAGGGACAGTCCAGGAGCCAAAATGGCCCTGAATGGGCCCCGAGCTGAGGTGTGGGACCAGAAGCTGAGAATGTGGGGCAGGGCCAGGGCAGGGTTGGGGCACGGGGACAGTAATGGGGTCAGGGGCTCGGGATTGGGGGAAGGGTCTGGGGAACGGGGACAGGGGGGACACAGCGATAAGGGTGGGGTCAAAACCATCAGCAGCACCATTACCCCAACCAGCAGCAGCAGCTTTGGCATAGAAATAGGATCCGGAATCCTCGTCCTTGAGGTTGTTCATGGTCAGCGTCACCGAGCTCTGCCCGTTGTCCCTGGAGATCCTGAACCGGCCCTTGACCGATGGCGCGTAGCCGGTGGCTCCCCCAGTGTTGATCCCCGCGAGCCATTCCAGCCCCTGCCCGGGACTCTGACGGATTCATGACATGTCAAAATTCCCGAAACTGAACCCGGACCCTCGGCAGAGGAGGCGCAGGGACCCCCTGGGAGGGTTGGAGGTCCCCCCCGCACTCTAGCAGGGTCACGGCCGCCCGGAGCCCTGCGGGACAAAGGGGAGATGGGGATGAAGGAAAAAATCCACCCAAATCCTAATTCCTGCATCCAGATCCTTATGTTGGCCACACACTGTGTCACTTTGTTCTCCTCCCCATCCTGCTGGCCCTCCCAGGTGGGTTGACGTCCCTATTTGCATCTGGTCACCCCCAGCCCAGCCCAAACCCGGATCCGGGGCCTGATCTCCATCTCCCCTGGAGATGAGACCCGGGCAGGGGCTGGAGTGGCTCGCAGGATCAACACTGGTGGCAGCACCAGCTACGCGCCATCGGTCAAGGGCCGGGTCACGATCTCCAGGTACAACGGGCAGAGCTCGGTGACGCTGACCATGAACAACGTCAAGGACAAGGATTCCGGATCCTATTTCTGTGCCAAATCTGGTTATGCTGGTGCTTGGGGTCCTGGTGCTTATGGTGAAGACCCCAGCGGTGGATCCACGCACCCATCTCAGCGTCCCCAGCTGTCCCCAAACCCCCAACCTTTCCCCCAATCCTCAGCCCTGGGCCCATCCCCGCTTGGGAGTCTCTGTCCCAATCCCCACCGGGATGGGGCTGTGGGGATCCCTCTGGAGCTGTTTGGTTTCCCACCATCGCTCTCCTCACCGGGCTGTGGCCATGGGGAGGTGCCGGCGACTCACGGCCCCGGCAGCACACACAGAACTCAATGGCGCCGCTCACCGCGAGAGGTTTGTGGCCAATCACACAAAGCAAAGGCAGATTGACACGGTGGGGCTGGATCTGGGACGTCCTCGTCAGTTTTGGGGAATTTGGTTGGGACGTGGAGCCCAGAGCTGAGGTTTGGGGCCAAGAGCTGAGATTGGGGCAGAGCCAGTTCAGAGTTGGGACACGGGGACAGGAATGGGGTCAGGGGCTGGGGACTGGGTGAAGGGTCTGGGGAACGGGGACAGGGGGGAAACAGCCATGGGGATGAGGTCAAAACGACAGGCGTCATTAGCAGCAGCATTGTTATAATAAACCCTGGCACAGAAATAGGATCCGGAATCCACGACCTTGAGGTTGTTCACGGTCAGCGTCACCGAGCTCTGCCCGTTGTCCCTGGAGATCCTGAACCAGCCCTTGACCGACGATGCATAGAAGGTCCTGCCACCACTGCTGATCCCCGCGAGCCACTCCAGCCCCTGCCCGGGTCTCTGACAGACCCAGCTCAAGGACTGACCCCCAAAATTGAACCCAGATGCGCGGCACAGCAACGTCAGGGACCCCCCTGGGGGCTGGAGGTCCCCCCGCACTCCAGCAGGGTCACGGCCACCCGGAGCCCTGCGGGACAAAGTGGAGATGATTAAAAATGAGAAATGTGATTGCTCCAGAAGGGGAAAAGGTGCGTGTGCTCCAGGAAAAAGGGGCGGAGCCCACCTGGGAGAGCCAGCAGGAGCAGCAGGACCTGGAGCCAGGGGGAGCTCAGGGCCAAGCCTGGGATGTGCCGGGGTTGGGGTCCCGGAGGGGTTTGGGGGTTTTTGACGTGGTATTGCGTTTGAAATCAATGTGGAACACTCAGGAAAAGGTGTCCAATTAATTAATGAGAATATTGAGTTAACTTGCAGATTTTGAGGAATGTCAGGATACCAGAAAAAATCTGGTGGAGATTTGGGACCAAACCAGTGAAGTTATGAGTGAAATTGGTGAAGATTTGGGCATGGGGGAGCAGCCGTGACCCTGCTGGAGTGCGGGAGGGACCTCCAGCCCCCCGGGGGGTCCCTGTGCCTCCTCTGCCGGGGATCCGGGTTCAGTTTCGGCAGTTTTTCCATGCAATGGGTCCGACAGCGACCCGGGCAGGGGCTGGAATGGGTCGCGGGGATCAGGAGCGATGGTGCTGACACTGGCTATGCGCCATCGGTCAGGGGCCGGGTGAGGATCTCCAGGGACAACGGGCAGAGCTGGGTGACGCTGACCATGAACAACCTCAAGGACGAGGATTCCGGATCCTATTTGGGTGCCAAATCTGCTGCTGCTGGCAATTGGGGCGATGCTGCTGCTTATGTTGAAGACACCAGTTGTGGATGCACCCCCGTCCCCATGTCCCCCCCGTTTCAGGTCCCCAGACCCTTCCCTCAAACCTTACCCATTGACTCAGATCTTGACCCTTTGTCCCCAATCTCCCCCATTTGCCCAATGGTCAGCACTGACCCTAAACCCTCCCCTGCTCCTGCCCCACAACTCAACCATTGGCCCCAAACCTTCACCCCTGGCTCCAGTTCAGGCCTCCTCCAATCAGGGCCCCGGGAGCTGGGGGAGATTTGGGTGAAATGGGCAAAACTGGGGAGACAATCGAGACTAGGGGAAGGATGGGGCAAAGTTTGGGGGAAAATGGTGAAGATTTGACACAAAGGACTGGGATGCCGGGGAAGGATCTCTGGGCATTGGAGACATTTTTTGACCAACATGGGGGTGGTCCGCTGACAGAATTGTCGCCAATAAGAGCAGGACCAGAAAAACCATAATCATTATTGCTACGTTTGGCACAGAAATAAACGGCGGAATCCTCGTCCTTGAGGTTGTTCATGGTCAGCGTCACCGAGCTCTGCCCGTTGTCCCTGGAGATCGTGAACCGACCATTGATTGATGGCGCTTGGTGGGTGGTGCCAACACCATTGATACTTGCGAGGTATTCCAGTGTCTTCCCAGATTTCTGGCGAATCCAGAACATTCCATAATTCCCAAAATCGAACCCGGACCCTCGGCAGAGGAGGAGCAGGGACCCTCCGGGGGGCTGGAGGTCCCCCCCGCACTCTAGCAGGGTCACGGCCACCCGGAGCCCTGCGGGACAAAGGGGAGATGGGGATGAGGAACCTGATTGGTCGAGGGCCTCAAACCAGGCGTGGCCATATAGAAAATGGTGTGGGACCCACCTCGGAGCGCCAGCAGGGGCAGGAGCACACACCTGCTCCTCCCAACCGGTTCGGGAGGGATTCCTCGGAAATGAGTAGTAAGAACCTGTTTATTTTACAGGCACAGCACCCCCCAGCACAGAAAATAAACAACAACAGATGACGCCACTCCTTCATTGCTCTGAAAAAGATGACAAGTTCAGAAAGTCTCTCTCAGGGGTGGTCGCTCTGTTATCAGTCCCTCCGGTGCTGGGGCAGCTGCTGCAGCCACAAGGTGCAAACTCTCGGTGTTTCCCAGGTCCCAGTCCAGAGCAGGTCCAAAAAAGGGAAAGGAGAAAGAATCCAGGGAAAATTCTGATTGCCAAGTTGAACTAACTAAAGAGCAGGAGCAAAAAGCAAGAGCAAAATGTTCCCTGCGTACTGCCCCGTCTCTGTGTGCCACCAACTGCTGGGGGAGTGAGCAGGCTGATAATGAAACAAAACAAAACAAGAAAAACCAAACCAAACCAGAACAAAACAAAAAACAGAACATTCTCTCTTAAAGGCAGTCTTAAGGGCGCGTATCATAACATCCAGCATAAAAAGAAAAATTACAGGGGATGCAAGCATCTAAATGACACCCGGGGGCAACACAGAGTCAAGAACAGGATCAAAGGCCAAGCTTTGGGGCAAAACTTGAGAGTTTGGGGACACAATGATGAGTGCGGATCAAATACCAGAGCTGCAGGCCATGGCCAGTACCGTCACTATAAGCACCACTAGGCCAACAACTGGTACAAGAAGATTTGATGCAGAAATAGGATCCGGAATCCTCGTCCTTGAGACTGTTCATGGTCAGCGTCACCGAGCTCTGCCCGTTGTCCCTGGAGATCGTGACCCAGCCCCTGAACGATGGCGCGTAGTAAATGTTGGAACCATTGCTCCTGATAGCCGCGACCCATTCCAGCCCCTGCCCGGGTCTCTGGCGGACCCATTTCAAGGCAAAACTGCCGAAACTGAACCCGGACCCTCGGCAGAGGAGGCGCAGGGACCCCTCGGGGGGCTGGAGGTCCCCCCCACACTCCAGCAGGGTCACGGCCGCCCGGAGCCCTGAGAGACAATGGGGAGATGGGGATGGGAAACCTGATTGGTCCAGAAGGGGAAAAGGGGCGTGACTTCTGAGGAAAAAGGGGCGGGACCACCTGGGAGGGGCAGCAGGGGCAGCAGGGCCAGGAGCCGGAGGGAGCTCAGGGCCAAAGCCGGGATGTGCCGGGGTTGGGGTCTTGCGGATTTTGGGGGTCATGAGCTTTTAATTGTGCATTAAGTGGAGAAGGATCAGAAGGAGGTTTCCAATTAATTAAGGAATGGGTTGGGGTTAATTGCACGATTTGATGCAAGTTATGATGCAGAAAATCTCTGGTAGAGATTGGGGACCAAAAAACCAGAGTTTGACAAAAAACAGCGAAGGTTTGGGGATGGGCTCCGGGCAGCCGTGACCCTGCTGGAGTGCGGGGGGGACCTCCAGCCCCCAGGGGGGTCCCTGCGCCTCCTCTGCCGAGGGGCCGGGTTCAGTTTTGGGAGTTTTGGGATGGGCTGGTATCGACAGAGACCCGGGCAGGGGCTGGAAGCCGTCGCAGGTATCAGCAGCAGTGGCAGCGCCTACTATGCAGATTCGGTCAAGGGTCGGTTCACAATCTCCAGGGACAACGGGCAGAGCTCGGTGACGCTGACCATGAACAACCTCAAGGACGAGGATTCCGGATCCTATTTCTGTGCCAAACGTGCTTATGCTGATAATTGGAGTCCTGGTGCTTCTGCTCAAGACGCCCATGTTGGATGCCTCCCCATCTCAGTGTCCCCTCCTGTCCCCAATCCCCAGACCCTTCCCCCTAATCTCAGCCCTTGACCCCATTCTTGAGCCTTTGTCCCAGATCTCCCCCATTTCCACCACCACCAACCAGGAAGCAAAAACCCCCAAACTGGTTGTGCCCCAAACCCAACTAAGCTGGCAACAAAACTCGCCCGATTCTTCCCGAAATCCCCACTTTGGGCTCCCTGCAGCAGCTGCCGCTGACACAAATCCTCAACCTTTGTCCCCAAATCGGGACTCTGGGCCCCAAACCCCGACCTGCAAAGCAAAGTTTGTGGCACAAAGAGGAGATTTGGGGTCAGGAGTTGTGGTTTGGGGTCAGCGGGTGAGAATTAGGGCCGAGGCAGAGCAAGGTTGGGATCAGTGTTGAAGGGCTGGGTGTGGGTTGGGGGTGTGGGGGAAGGGTCTGGGCAACGGGGACAGGGCGGGGACACAGCCATGGGGATGGGGTCAAAATGTTCAGCACCAGCAGAACCATCATAGCAACCACCATCAACACATTTGGCACAGAAAGAGGATCCGGAGTCCTTGTCCTTGAGGTTGTTCATGGTCAGCGTCACCGAGCTCTGCCCGTTTTCCCTGGAGATCCTGAAATGGCCCTGGACTGATGAGGCGTACATGGTGCCACCATCGCTCCAGATCGCTGCCACCCACTCCAACCCCTGCCTGGGTCTCTGGCAGATCCAGAACATGGTGAAACTGCCGTCATCGAACCCGGACCCTCGGCAGAGGAGGCGCAGGGAACCCCCGGGGGGCTGGAGGTCCCCCCCGCAGTCCAGCAGGGTCACGGCTGCCCGGAGCCCTGCGGGACAAAGGGGAGATAGAGATGAGGCCAAAGCCCAACCCTTGACGCAAATCCTGACTCTTGGCCCAAATTGGGACCCTTGGAGTTCATCACCCTCCTCCCAGGTGGGTCCCATCCTGTTTTATTACAGGCCATGCCCTCTTTGAGACCCTGGACAAATCAGGTTTCCCATCCCCATCTCCCCTTTGTCCCGCAGCGCTCCGGGTGGCCGTGACCCTGCTGGAGTGCGCGGGGGACCTCCAGCCCCCCGGGGGGTCCCTGCGCCTCCTCTGCCGAGGGTCCGGGTTCAATTTTGGCAGTTTCACCATGTACTGGGTCCGCCAGATACCCGGGCAGGGGCTGGAGTGGGTGGCAGGGATCTACAACACTGGTGCTTACACCTACTACGCGCCATCGATCAAGGGCCGGGTCACAATCTCCAGGGACAACGGGCAGAGCTCGGTGACGCTGACCATGAGCAACCTCAAGGACGAGGATTCCGGATCCTATTTCTGTGCCAAATGTTATGCCAGTAGTTGTGCTGATGCTAGTGCTGGTTATGGTGTTGATGGTGGTTGTGGTCCCAAGCCCTCTCCCCTCTGTTCCCAAATAACTCAGAATTCTCTAATCCGTCCCCAAAATCCCCATCCCTGTTTCTCAAATCTTGACAATTTCCCCCCAAACTCCACCGTCACTTCCCAAGTTCCCAGTTTCCCCTCATTTTCCCCATTCCTCTCTAGTCTGGCCCTTCCCCTCCATCCCAGTGTGGAACGGGGATCGCTCTGGGGCCCTTTGCACACAAAGCTTTTTGTGCAGCCGGCGCTCTGCCGCAGCGCCCCGAGGCTGAGCTGCCCTCTGCCAAACACAGATGTTCACCATGACCAAACCCAGGAACTTTCTGTTTCCTTTCCTGCCCCGGCCAGGCCCCGGCAGCTGCCGGGGAGGAAGTGGGGGGAGGCTGCAGAGCCCCAAAATCGCGGCGTCTGCTCCTCTCTCCCTCCCTTTGTCCCACCTGGGGCTTCACTTCTCCCTCAGCGGCCGAGGTGTCGGGGGCTGCTCCGTGGGGCTGGGCTGGAATCCTCTCAGGGAGCTCTGGAGAATAAACCCACATTTTTACCCAAAAAAACCTGAAATTTTGGGGAGATGAAACTGTTTAAATTGATCTCGAGTCAAGGGCTCCATGCTGAGAGAAGCAGATAGGACCATGGGTGGATTCACCAGGAACATTCCATCGGTCAAGGGCAGGGTCAGCACGGTCAGGGACAGCCCAGGAGCCAAAATGGCCCCAAATGGGCCCTGTCGGAGGAAGGAGACCCAGACACCAATTGGTTCATACAAGTCCAATTTATTGATCAATACGGCGGGTTAAATACAGTTCTTAATAAGCTTCATACATATTGCAAAAGTTGAGCTCAGGATTGGTTAGTTACATCTCAGCAACTACACCTACTTCTACATTCTTGTGCTTATTCTTCTGTTACATTTTGCAGATATTCAGGACTAATCTCACCTCCCTTTCCTCATGTTGCAGCAAGGTCATCCGGCATTCTTGCCTGTCAGCAGTCACTGAATCAGAGACTGCTGACCTCCCTTTCAAGCTTAACCAGCGGCATTATGTCAGTATGGCCTTTCTCAGCTAACCAACTCTTAATAAAATCCTCCACAGGGCCCCGAGCTGAGCTGTGGGCCCAGGAGCTGAGAATGCGGGGCAGGGCCAGGGCAGGGTTGGGGCACGGGGACAGGAATGGGGTCAGGGGCTGGGATTTGGGGGAAGGGTCTGGGGAACAGGGACGGGGGGACACAGCGATAAGGGTGGGGTCAAAACGATCAGGAGAACCATTACCCCAACCAGCAGCAGACGCTTTGGCACAGAAATAGGATCCAGAATCCTCGTCCTTGAGGTTGTTCATGGTCAGCGTCACCGAGCTCTACCCGTTGTCACTGGAGATCCTGAACCAGCCCTTGACTGAATCCGCGTAGCCGGTGCCTCCACCAGTGTTGATCCCCGCGAGCCACTCCAGCCCCTGCCCGGGTCTCTGGCATAGCCAATCCATACCAAAACACCCAAAACTGAACCCAGACCCTCGGCAGAGGAGGCGCAGGGACCCCCTGGGGGGCTGGAGGTCCCCCCCGCACTCCAGCAGGGTCACAGCCGCCCGGAGCCCTGCGAGACAAAGGGGAGATGGGGATGAGAAACCTGATTGGTTGAGGGACTTAAAGCTGGTGTGGCCAGCTGGAAAAAGGGGATGGGACCCGCCTGGGGGGAGGGTGATGAACTCCAAGGTTCGCAATTTGCGGCCCAGAGTCAGGATTTGGGTCAAGGGTTGAGCTTTGGCCCCATCTCAATCTCCCCTTTGTCCCGCAAGGCTCCGGGCGGCCGTGACCCTGCTGGAGTGCGGGGGGGACCTCCAGCCCCCCCGGGGGGTCCCTGCGCCTCCTCTGCCGAGGGGCCGGGTTCAGTTTCGGGAGTTATGGAATGTACTGGATCCGCCAGAGACCCGGGCAGGGTTTGGAATACGTCGCAGGGATCCACTACAATGGCCACACCATCTACGCCCCATCAGTGCAGGGCTGGTTCAGGATCTCCAGGGACAACGGGAAGAGATCGGTGACTCTGACCATGAACAACCTCAAGGACGAGGATTCCGCCGTTTATTTCTGCGCCAAGTGTGCTGCTAATAACTACCCTGAACATGCTGCTCGTAGTGACGATGTCCAGGGTTTTCCCACCCCCATCCCCGTGTCCCCCCCCGTCCCCGTTTCCCAGACCCTTCCCCCAAACCCCCAGCCCACACCCAGCCCTTCACCATTGATCCCAAACTTGCTCTGCCTCAGCCCCAATTCTCCCCCGCTGACCCCAAACCACAACTCCTGAACCCAAATCTCCTCTTTCTGCCCCAAACTTTGCTCTGAAGGTTGGGGTTTGAGGCCCGGGATCCTGATTTGGGTCAGAATTGGGGATTTGCATCAGTGGTGGCTGCTCGGGTCCAGCAGCGCAGATTTGGGCAGAGTTAGGCGAGTCCAGCCCAGGGATCCTGGCAGAGGGGCCGGGGCCAGCCCAGGAGCCAAAAAGGCCCTGAGTGGGCCCCGAGCTGAGGTGTGGGGCCAGGAGCTGAGAATGTGGGGCAGGGCCAGGGCAGGGTTGGGGCACGGGAACAGGAATGGGGTGAGGGGCTGGGGATTGGGGGAAGGGTCACTGTGGAGACAGTTGGTGACCATCACGGTGGTGGGAACACTAACGTTGCCGCTCCCAATAGCAGCAGCACTCTGAGAACCGTAACTACTACTGGCACGTTTTGTGCAGAAATAAACGGCGGAATCCTCATCCTTGAGGTTGTTCATGGTCAGCGTCACCGAGCTCTGCCCGTTGTCCCTGGAGATCCTGAACCGGCCCTTGACCGACGGCGCGTAGCCGGTGCCGCCACCACTGCTGCTGATGCTGGCGATATATTTCAGTGTCCGCCCGGGTCTCTGACGGATCCAGATCATTCCAAAATTCCCGAAATCAAACCCAGTGGCGCGGCACAGCAACGTCAGGGACCCCCCGGGGGGCTGGAGGTCCCCCCCGCACTCCAGCAGGGTCACGGCTGCCCGGAGCCCTGCGGGAAAAAGGGGAGGTGGGGAGGAGGCCCGCGATCCAGGTGTGGGTCCAGCTGGGGGTGACCAGATCCAAAAAGGGGCCTCAAGCCCCCTGGGAGTGCCAGCAGGATGGGGAGGAGGAGAAAGTGCCAAAATTTGGGGCCAACACCAGGATCTGCATGCAGGAATCAACATTTGGATGGATTTTTTTCCCTCATCCCCATCTCCCCTTTGTCCCGCAGGGCTCCGGGTGGCCGTTACCCTGCTGGAGTGCGGTGGGGACCTCCAGCCCCCCGGGGGGTCCCTGCGCCTCCTCTGCCGAGGGTCCGGGTTCGATTTCAGGAGCAATGGAATGTTCTGGATGTGCCAGAGACCCGGGCAGGCGCTGGAGTGGCTCGTGGGGATCAGCAGGGACGGTTCCAGCGCCAGCTACGGGACGTCATTCAAGGAGCACGTGAGGATCTCCAGGGACAACGGGCAGAGCTCGGTGACACTGACCATGAACAACCTCAAGGACGAGGATTCCGGATCCTATTTCTGTGCCAAATATGCTGATAATTATTCGGGGAATAATGCTTATAATGTTGACCCCATCTCCATGGCTCTGCCCCCTCCCGTCCCCGTTTCCCACCCCCTTCCCCAATCCCCAGCCCCTGACCCCATTGCTGTCCCCGTGTCCCAGCTCTGAGCAGGCTCTGCCCCAATCTCAGCTCTTGGCCCCAAACCTCAGCTCTGGGCTCAAACGTTCAACCAAGGTCTCCAAACCTGGGTGCAGATGGTTGAGATTTGGGAAAAACGGGCCAGATTTGGGTCCGTGGCTGTGACTCAGATCCACCACTGAAATTCTGGGCCAGAACGGGTCCAGTCTGGGGGCAATGGTTGGGATTGGAGGGCTGAGGCTGAGCTCACGGTGAAACCAGCTCTGATTTGGGGCCAGGAGCTGAGATTTGGGGCCAGAGCAGGGCAGGGTTGGGACAAAGGGTCAGGAGTGGGGTCAGGAGTGGGAGTGTGGGGGAAGAGTCTGGGGAATGGGGCCAGGAGGGACACGGGGATGGGGCCGAAATGTCAAACATCAGCAGCATAAGGAGCAGCACCAGCACCAGTGCGTTTGGCACAGAAATAGGATCCGGAATCCTCGTCCTTGAGGTTGTTCATGGTCAGCGTCACCGAGCTCTGGCCGTTGTCCCTGGAGATTTTGAACCGGCCCTTTACCGACGGCGCGTAATAGGTGCTGCCACCATCGTTGCTGATCCTGGCCCTTGACCGAATCTGCATAGTAGGCGCTGCACTGCTGTAGACCCCTGCGAGCCACTCCAGCCCCTGCCCGGGTCTCTGGCGGATCCACAGCATGGAGAAACTGCTGAAACTGAACCCGGACCCTCGGCAGAGGAGGCGTAGGGACCCCCCGGGGGGCTGGAGGTCCCCCCTGCACTCCAGCAGGGTCACGGCCGCTCCCCCATCCCCAAACCTTCGCTGGTTTTACCCCAAATTCCCTTTGTCTGGCCCCAAATCTCCAAGAGGGATTTCCAGAATTGTAAAGTGCCTTCAACCCTGCAATGAGCCCCAATCCACCCATTAAATATTTCGACAGCTCTGTCTGACTTTTGCATCGCCCCATCCCCATCTCTCCTCCGTCCCAGTGTGGAACGGGGATCGCTCCAGGGCCCTTTGCACACAAAGCTTTTTGTGCAGCCGGCGCTCTGCCGCAGCGCCCCGAGGCTGAGCTGCCCTCTGCCAAACATAGATGTTCACAATGACCAAAACCAGGAACTTTCTCTTTCCTTTCCTGCCCTGGCTGGGCCCCGGCAGCTGCCGGGGAGGAAGTGGGGGGAGGCTGCGGAGCCCCAAAATCGCGGCGTCTTCTCCTCCCTCCCTCCCTCCCTCGCTCCCACCTGGGGCTTCACTTCTCCCTCAGCGGCCGCGGTGTCTGGGGCTGCTCCTTGGGGCATGGCTGGAATCCTGTCTGGGAGCTCTGGACATGGTGATGATGCTGGTGGTGGCACCAAATCCCCATCCCTGGCTCCCCAAATGTCCCAAAATCCCCAAATCCTGCCCCAAATCCCAACCCTTGACCCCATTCTTGACCTTCTCCCCCAGTGTCCACCATCATTGCCCCAACTCTCGACTTCCCCCCAATTTTGCCCATTTCACCAAAATCTGCCCCAGCTCCCCGGGCCCTGATTGGAGGAGGCCTGAACTGGAGCAAGGGGTGCATGTTTGGGGCCAATGGTTGAGATTTGGGGCAGGAGCAGGGGAGGGTTCAGGGTCAGTGCAGACCATTGGGGAAAACGGGGGAGATTTGGGACAAAGGGTCAAGGGCTGAAGTTCGGGGGAATGGTCTGAGTTTGGGGACAGAAGGGACTAAAAAATGAAGACTCAGAAAAAAACCATCATGACCAACATCATCACAATGAATGTCTTTACCAGCAGCAGGACCACAACAACCAGCCCAACTTTTGGCACAGAAATAGGATCCGGAATTCTCGTCCGTGAGGTTGTTCATGGTCAGCGGCACTGAGCTCTG